TTGGTGTGTTGTGATGGTGCTCCAACCAACTGAGCTCCCCAGCCTGGCCTCTTAATTATTTTCAAAAATTTTGTGCTGTGCACAATATAATGGAAATATACACCATAAACTTTGTTTTTTGTTGTTGTTGTTGTTAATCCTCGCCCGAGGATATTTTTTCCATTGATTTTTAGAGAGAATGGAAGGAATTAGGGAGAGGGGGTGTGTGAGTAAGAAACATCAGTGTGATAGAGACACATTGATTGGTTGCCTCCCGCAAGCACCCCAAACCAGGGCTGGGGATTGAACCTGCAACCCAGGTACATGCCCTTGACCAGGAATTGAACCCGTGACATTTTGGTTGGAGAGTGGAGCGTGAGAGAGATTTTCTGGGAGCCGTGCACACTGGTCAGCAATGGTGCCCTCAGCACAAATGCGAGAGAGTGGACTTGACTCCAGCTCTGATCCAGCTGTGGAATGACAGAAATGACTTTGGGGAAGGAGGGAGGACAGAGACACACTCAGGATACCGGGAGGGATGTGAGGCTCTTACTCGTGGATGCAGTAAATGCAAAGTTCTTCCACATCCCATCACGGTACATGAACCTCAGCCTCACCCAGGAGGCCCCACTCCAGGGAGAAGGTAATGGACATGGTCTCCAATGTCATACTCCATCATTATAGAGGTGGTTTATTCTACTATAGTAGCTTCTCTCCTAACACCAGAATGATGTCCCTTCCTCCCCCAAACATCCCCACATCCATTCTCTGGTAACCCTGTTCCCAGTCACCCCACCTCAAAGAAAACCACAGGTCCTGGTGCTCGCTTTCAACCCACGGCCACAATGGTCACTGACTGCACAAAAGAACAAAGCAGGCATCCGGACCTGATGCGAGGCCCAGTACTCTTTTTAAAAAATAAATATTTTTATTGGTTTTAGTGAGGGAGGGAGAGAAAGACAGAAAACATCAATGATGAGAGAGAATCGTTAATTGGCTGCCTCCTGCCTGCCAAGAACTGGGGATTGAACCCACAACCTGTGCATGTGCCCTTGACTGGAATCAAACCTGGGACCCTTCAGTCCGCAGGCCGATGCTCTATCCACTGAGCCACACCGGCTATGGTGGGGCTTGATACTCTGTTACTAGGAAGACCAATATATATACAACAGGCTTCCCTGTCATTTTGCTTTAATAGCACCTATGCCTCCACGACCATTTCATGTCCCCTCCTTCCTCAGAAGCCGTGGCCGCCAGCTGGGTTATCCTCGATGCCCAGCCGCACCCCGGTGCCCAAGCTAGATCTGCACTCGGGCATCCAACGTTCGCTTCCTGATTCACTGTTAGCATTACCATCATGGTTAGGATTCCTCTTACTGTTACTCAGAGTTCCCCCTCTCCACACACTGCCCACCACCTTTTGTAAACTGTCCATCTGACAGAGGTCCAGAATGGTGTGTCCAGCTGCCCACTGAGGAATTGCACTCCTTTGTTCTCTGGAACATCGCACACGCTGAATATGTCTAGAAGAAAAACTCCTGCCCTAACCGGCTTGGCTCTGGATAGAGTGTCAGCCTGCAGACTGAAGGGTCCCAGGTTCAATTCTGGTTCAAGGGCATGTACCTTGGTTGCGGGTACATCCCCAGTGGAGGGTGTGCAGGAGGCAGCTGATCGATGTTTCTCTCTCATCCAATGTTTGTAACTCTCTATCCCTCTCCCTCTCTGAAATCAATAAAAATATATTAAAAAAAATAAAATTGAGCTAATCTTCCATTTCACCAGCAACAAATGAAAACACACACACACACACAGAAAATATCCACAGCGCAATTTCCTTGAGATGTTAACAGTGTGAGGTTTAGCTGCAAACTGACTGGCATTCTCTCCTTTGTTAGCGGCCTGAGAGACACACTGTCATGTTGATGTATCAATGTGAAAGTGTTGTCCAGTCAAGAACTGAAGTTTTGTATAAAAACGGAGACCATTTTTTTCCAAGAACAACTTGGTCGAGAAATGAATTGTTTGAGATGGGAGACATTCTAGAACCAAGGTTTTTGTTTGTTTGTTTGTTTGTTTTTTAAATATTTTTTATTGCTTTCAGAGAGGGAGGGAGAGAGAGAAATGTCAGTGAGAGAGAATCATCGGTTGGCTGCCTCCTGCACACCCCACACGGGTTCAAGCCTGCAACCCAGGCATGTGCCCTGACCAGGAATTCAACCGTGACCTCCTGGTTCATAGGTCGATGCTCAACCACTGAGCCACACCTGCCGGCCTTGAACCAAGGTTTTGAAACCTGACAACGAATGGGTCCGGGCTGCCTGTCACTACCTGAGCCAATTAAGCAGAGACAGGGTGAATTCCTATGCTAGGGTTTCTTCTAATACCGCTGCCATTATGGGAGAGTAGCACATCATCCACAAAAATCTGCTCTACCCCCCACCCCCACCATAAGCCACCTGCTTATATTGGGTAGGAGTACAAATTACATGGGAAAGTAGGAATTACAGGCCTGGGGAAGTAGGCACCGTATAGTGGATATACCTAGGTCCCAGGCAACCAGGGCTGGGTTCTAAAGGGCAGGCACCTCTGGGACTCCATTGTTTCTGCAATAAGGTTGTTAAACTTGCCGTGATGATAGACAGTTCTCAGAAAAGGAGAATGGACTGCATTTTGAGATCACCTCCCATATCCCCAGGCATACAACTTGCCTGGAGCCAGTCCATCCTTGCTGTTTCAAGGGACCTGGCATATATGGCATACTGTTCTTAATATGTTTGCTCACCTTCTTGGCACTATGTGTTTTAACCAAGGTCTCTGAGAAAGGTTGTTTCCCCAGGTAGGGATTTTCCCCTGAAGTTAGGGAGGGAATAAAACCTCTTAACTAAGTGCCAGGCGGGTAATTAATCACTTAACTATGAACAATCATGCTTAAGCTACATAATCTTTACTCCCTGGAATGGAGATAAGAAACGCCCTAACCTTTGGAATAGAGATTGATAGGATTGGAATCAACTGGTATAAATACAGATGTAACAAGACAGAACTTAGAAGACAGAACCTACACAGAACCTAGAGACAGAAGAACTTCGCTGGAGAGAACATGGCAAAAGATCCTGGACAGAAACTGGCAACAGAACCTAGAGACAGAACCTAGCGAGAGAACATGGCAAAAGATCCTGGACTGAATCTGACTATAGAACATGGCAAGAGAACCTGACTAGAACCTGGTGACTGAACCTGGCTGGAGAACCTAGCCAGAACCTGGCTGAAGAACCTGGCTACAGAATCTGGTGACCGAACCTGGCTGGGGAACCTGGGGAACCTGGCTGGAGAACCTAGCAAGAGAACATGGACACAGAACCTGGCTGGAGTTCCTAACCAGAACTTCGCTGGAGATCCTGAACAGAACTTGGCCGGAGATCCTGGCTAGGCTGCTGATCAACTGAACGCTGTCTCCGTGTCATTCCTTCTTCGCCTACTCCGTCCACGCCTTTGGGGACCCCTGGACCTACTGGGGATGGACCCCAGCAACAACTCTCAGCCACGTTAAAATGTGCTTTTTCTAATCAGAACCATCATGGTTAACAAATATGAAAAATATTTCCTATAACCATAGCTCATCGACACTATTCCATTTCTGCCCCTAACAGTTTGACTGTATTCTGTAACAAGTAATTTTTACTTCTTAATCCCTTCACCTTCATCAACCATTTTCTCAACCAGCTTGACCTCTGACAACCCTCAAAATGACCTCTGCATCTATAAGTATGTTTCTGATATGCTCAGTCAAATATTTCGATTTTTATATTCAATTGTTGATACACATGTAGGACCTTTTTTGTTGTTGTTAATATGTTTTTATTGATTTCAAAGAGGAAAGAAGAGGGAGAGAGAGAAACATCAATAATGAGAGAGAATCAATGATCAGCTGCCCTTTGCAAACCCCCAGCCCACATTGCCCACGTTGCCTGTCATCTGTAACCATTATACCCAATCCATGTTTCTTTCCCAGTTTCTCTCTCACTCCCTGTCCCTATCTCTCTCTAAAATAAATAAAAACATATCCTCAGGTAAGTATGAAAGTAATAAGAACTATCCTATCTAATAAAAGCTTAATATGCTAATTGGCTGACCATTTTGACCATTTGACCAGTCACTATGACACACACTGACCACCAGGGGGCAGATGCTCGGACTGGTAATTTATCTTGCTGCTAGTCTGGCTGATGAGGACTGGGCGAGATGGACCAGACACGCCCTGGAGGCCTCCCACGGCCCCTCTCCAGCCGGCCAATCTCCCATGGTCCCTCCCCAGCCAGCGGGCCCCAATCAGCCCAGATCAGGACTGGGCGAGAAGGGCTGGACACGACCTGCAGCCAACCTCCTACAGTCCCTCCCTGGCCTCTAAAATATTTCTTCTAGTCCTGACCCGTTTGGTTCAGTGGATAGAGCGGCGGCCTGCGGACTGAAGGGTCCCAGGTTCGATTCCGGTCAAGGGCATGTACCTTGGTTGTGGGTGCATCCCCAGTGGGGAATGTGCAGGAGGCAGCTGATCCATGTTTATCCCTGATCGATGTTTCTAACTCTCTATCCCTCTCCCTTCCTTTCTGTAAAAACTCTCTCTCTCTCTCTCTCTCTCTCTCTCTCTCTCTCTCTCTATATATATATATATTTAAAAAGGATACATTTAAAAAATAATAAAAATAATAAAATATTTCTTCTAATTAAATTCCTTTCAATATACACGAATCCGTGCACAATAAAATGAACAATAAAATGATGGGTATACTACTTTCCCAGGATTCCTCCAATTGCAAACCTTCTAGGAGGCCAGTAAGCAGAAGTCCTTCAGTGCAGCCTCTGGAACCCTGCGGACTACATTACCCAGAAGGCTGTGGCTCGAGCAGAGCTAATAGCAGGTCAGATGTAGGCATATGGTTGAAAGGGGGCGGGACTTCCGGTGTCCTCTGCTCGGGGCACTCCCACTTTCCCCCTTCCCCACAGTACCGCTATCCTTTCGCACTGAGGTGAGAGGAATCCAGACATCTTGGCCAAGGGCGCCTCCTGCCTGGGCGCGAGGATGGGGTGCGGCTCAGCGCCGTGGCCCCGGTCAAGCCTAAAGGACCAGGGACGGGGGGAGCCGCCCCCTCGGCCGCCGCCCGCTGCCCGCGCCCGCCCCGCCCTCAGAGTCCGCGGGCGGCGGCTGCGCCCGGGTGCCCGGCTGAGGTGAGTGCCTGTCTCCGGGGCCTCCCGCACGTCCGTGCCCGGGGGAAAGGGGTTTGGGTATCGTTGGGGGCAGGAGTCGGTGTTTTGGGTTCGAGCTCTTCGTTATGAAGAATAAATTATGAGAAATATCCAGTCACGCTCTGTCCGCCGGGGTGGGTTTGTTTGGATGTAAGAAAGCACCGTCTGGCCCTGGCCGGTGTGGCTCAGTGGGTAGAGCGTTAGCCTGCGGACTGAAGGGTCCCGGGTTCGATTCCCGTCAAGGGCACTTGCCTGGCTTGCAGGCTCGATCCCCAGTAGGGGGCGCACAGGAGGCAGCTGGGTAGTTCTCTCATCATTGATGTTTCTCTCTCTCCCTCTCTGACATCAATAAAAATATGTTTAAGTTAAAAAATAAAAAAAAAGAAGCACAGTATGCGGGCCAGCGTGTCTCAGGGGTTGAACGGCCACCTTTGTAGGAACCAGGAGTTTCGGGTTCGATTCCCGGTCAGGGCACCTGCCCGGGTTGCGGGCTTGATCCCCAGTAGGGGGCGTGCAGGGGGCAGCCCATCCATGATTCTCTCGCTCCCTCTCCATTCCTCTCTGAAAAGTATGTTGAAAAAAGAAAGCACAGCCCTGGCCGGTGTGGCTCAGTGGATAGAGCATCGGCCTGCGGACTGAAGGGTCCCGGGTTCGATTCTGGTCAAGGGCACGTGCCCGGGTTGCAGGCTCCATCCCCAGTGGGGGACGTGCAGGAGGCAGCCGATCCATGATCCTCTCTCATCACTGATGTTTCTGTCTCTTAGCCCTCTTCCTTCCTCTCTGAAATCAATTAAAAATACATTTTAAAAAAATTAGAGAAAAAAAAAGAAAGCACAGTTCGACCCGCCTGGGACTTGTCCGCGGGACCTGGACGTGTGGCCCCCCCTCCCCACTGGGCCTCTGCCCCTTGTCATGGAACAACGAGCAACCCCTGGAGGACAGGGAGCCGGGGAGTCCCAGGTGCCCCCTGGCCTCTGCAAACCCCACATGCCTGTGATCGCTAACCATTTTACCCAGTCTTTTTACAAAAAATATATATTTTATTGATTTTTTTACAGAGAGGAAGGGAGAGGGATAGAGAGTTATTAACATCGATGAGAGTTAGAAACATCGATCAGCTGCCTCCTGCACACCCCCTACTGGGAATGTGCACGCAACCAAGGTCCATGTCCTTGACCTGAATGGAACCTGGGACCCTTCAGTCCGCAGGCCGACGCTCTATCCACTGAGCCAATCCTGTTAGGGCTTACCCATTCTTTTTAAAAAAATATTATCATTGACAGCATCTTAATTTAAAAATATATATATTTCTTTATTGATTTCAGTGAGGAAGGGAGTAGGAGAGAGAAAGAGAAACATCAAGGATGAGAGAGAACCATTGATCGGCTGCCTCCCGCACACCCAGGCATGTGCCCTTGGCCGGAATCGAACCCAGGACACTTCAGTCCGCAGGCTGACGCTCTATCCACTGAGCCACACCAGCCAGGGCCGTTTTACCCATTCTTATTGCTTTTGCCCACTTCCTTATCTGATCTTTGTCCTTGCACCGCATTCAAGCAGCTGGCTTACGGGGGAAGGTGGGGGGGTGCAGAGTAGATTTTTGTGGCTGACCTGCTGCTCTCCCCCCCTGCCTGCACTGTTGGAATAACCGCTCCTGGAGGATTCAACCCTGTCTCTGCTGAATTGGCCCAAGTAGTGACAGGCCGCCTGGACCCATTGGTTGTCCTGTTTCAGTTCTGGTGCCTGATGGTGATGTGAAGGGGGGAGGGGGGGCTGCAGGGAGGACTTCCGAGCCTCCCTGGGGCGGCTCCTGGCTGGGGGCCCCTCAGGGTGGGAGTGTGGCTGATGGTGTTGAACTTGTGAGTCGCTTAGGGCGCCCTGAGCACGGACACGGGTGAGGGGGGAGAGGTGTCTGTGATGCGGGGCAAGTAGGCAGCGGGGCTGGGGGTGGAACAGAGGACTGGGGATGTTAGGGAGGCAGTAGATGCAGAACGGGGTGCCTGCGAGGGGGTGGTGTGAGCCAATGGCGCCCAGGCTCTGGTGTGGGGACCCGGTGGAGCAGCGCCCCCCTCTGGCTGCGTCCGGCAGGGAATTGCTTTGCAGGCGGGAGGGGCCCCTAGGCCTGGCCCGCAGCTCGATGGCATCAGTGTGTCCCCGCTGCCCTTGCTGAGGGCTAAACACAGTCACTATGGAACCCTAATAGATGAGCAGACATCAGGGTCCCCAGGGCCTGGTGTCTCCTGGGAGGGAGGCCGCCCTGGAGGAGGAGCAGGAGCCGTGGGAAGGTGTGTGAGGGGTGGACTGGGAGCGTCTCAGAAAGACAAAGTGTGTGGAGAGCGGCTACAGCGTTTGGACAGGTTCAAGCCTCGGACTAATGAGAGGGCACGGTCCTCTCGTAGCAAAGCCACGTGCAATTCCCAGCTTGGAGGGCACAGCTACTCCCAGCACAGGTACAGCCAAAGGCTACGGTTGTAAGCTTGACCTTATGGTCCGAACCTGTGGTCCCAGGTGGCTGAGTGATACGGGCTGCGGGAGGTGCAGCAAGTTCTGTAAAAACAAAGCTTGATAGAGTTCAGGTGCATGTAATTGAGTAGACGCGAGAACATGGTAGACATCTTGAGCACGCCCTTACTTTGCCTCGTGGAATCTGTCTATAAAATAAAGACTCGGCTTGCAGGCCGAGGTGCTGTCTCTCCATCCGAGAGCAGCGTCCCACCTAGCCCCAGCTTTATTCTCTTGTCTGTCTTCTTTAATCCTTCACCCTGGCCGTGCTGAGTGAGGTACAAAAGTGTATGGTTTTCCCTGTCCCCATCTCGACAGGACCGCGTGACCTTTGACGACGTGGCCGTGTACTTCTCCCGGGAGGAGTGGGGGCTCCTGGATGAGGCTCAGAGACGCCTGTACCAGGAGGTGATGCTGGAGAACTTGACCCTTGCATCCTCTGTGGGTAAGACTCTCACCGTCTCACCGGGGACGTGGACTAGGCTCTGCCCTGCCCCCCCTCCTTCCCCCAGAGGCTGCTCTGTGGGCCCCACATGCTCCCCTGTGGACCCCATCCCTGCCCTCTTCTCTCTGCTGCAGCCCCAATACCTGCTGCACTGAACTCTTCTCGTAGGGACGGGATGCCGTGAGCCTAATGCCGTTCACCATGCTTGCCCCCTCCCTGGCCAGGGCAGTGTGCCGATCTGAATGATGGTTCTGTAGTTTAGTTGTAATTTTGATGTGGTTGTGGGTGGAGGTTAGTACCACATTCACCTCTGCAGCCCTCTTGCCCAGAAGCTCCATTGGTTGCATTTTGTGTGTGCCCTGACCAAGGAAGGAACCTGTAACCTGAGTGTATCAGGGTGATGCTTTCACTAACTGAGCCACTTGGGCAGGATCTGAGTCGATTTCTTTATATATATATATAAAAGCCTAACATGCAAAGTGTCCCCTTGGCAGTTCGACCACTCGCTATGACGTGCGCTGACCACCAGGGGGCGGCGCAGAATGAAGGAAGGTACCGGGCAACAGTCGGCAGCCGCTAGGGACCCTAACCGTGCATGAATTTCGTGCACTGGGTGTCTAATCATTAATATAATGAGTTTTTGTGATAGGTTTTCAGTTAAAGTCTATTTTCTCTAGAAGTATGGCTACTTACAAGTATAGTCTACTCTATTTGACTTACATTTGCATAGCTTATTTTTTCAATTTCTAAACTTTCAGCTTATATATTTGGTTAAAGCTTGAGTCTCTTACAGACAACATATGGTTTGAACTTTTTTTGTTTAGTTTTTTAGTCCTCATCTGAGGATAAGTTATTTTATTGATTCTAGAGAGGGGAACGCAGAGGGAGGGAGGGAGAGAGAAACATCGATTGGTTGCCTCACGATGGAATCGCCCAGTCCTGGGATCGCTCTCACAACCTGGGTACGTGCCCTGACCGGAAATAGAACCCTTGACACTCTTACTACTGAGCCATACTGGTCGGGGCTTAACTTGTTTTTCTAATCCATTCAGCCCCTGTGTGTGATTTGATTGAAGAGTGTTTAAGTACTTGAGGATTGGTATCTTGTCAGTTTTTGTCTGGTTGTTTTGTAGTTCCTCCGTTCCTTTTTTTACTCTCTTGCTATCTTCCTTTATAAATTTATGATTTTACATAGATGTGTGCTTTAATTCCTGCACCTATATTTTTGGTTTATCTATTGTAGGTTTTTTGCTTTGTGATTACAGTGATGCTTATAAAACATCTTAGAACAGTGTAGTTTAATCTGAAAAGAATCAGTCATATGTAAAACTACCATTTTACCTTGGTTAGTGTGTCTCAGTTCATTGGGTGTTTTTCCTTGCACCGAAAGGTTTCCGGTTTGATTCTCTGTCAGGACACATGTCCCAGTTGCTGGCTAGATCCCTGGTAGGGGATGTGTTGGAGGCAGCAGATCCATGTTTCGCCCTCACATCAATACTTAACTCTTTTCTTCTTCCTTCTTCTCCCTGTAAAATAATTAAGAAATCTTTCATATTGTTGAAAAGCTACCCTTTTAATATCCCATCTCTCTGCATTCTATGTTTCTGAATTTAAGATTTTTTTTTTCTTTATTTACTAAGTTGACAGAGAAAGTAAGGGGTGGGGGGAGAGAGAGAAAGAAAAGAAACTTTAATTTGTTTGTTCCAGCGTCCATGCATTCATTGGTTGACTCCTTCATGTGCCCTGACCTGGAATCAAATTCACAACCTTGGCATATGGGGACATTCCAACCAACTGAGCTATCTGGTCATGGCAACGTTGTGCTTCTGAGTCACAATTTACATCGTTTTATTGTTTAATTATTATTAAATTATTGTAGCGAGGGCTTTTTAACAAATGTATTTGTGTATTATTTATTTTTTATTTTTTTAAATATATTTTTATTTCAGAGAGGAAGGGAGACGGGGAGAGAGTGAAACATCAGTGATGAGAGAGAATCATTGATTGGTTGCCTCCTGCATGCCACCCACCGGGGATCAAGCTGGCAACCCAGGCCTGTACCCTTGACCAGAATCAAACCTGGGACCCTTCAGTTCACAGGCCAATGCTCCATCCACTGAGTCAAACCAGCCAGGGCTGTATTTTATTTTTAATATATTTTTATTGATTTCAGAGTGGAAGGGAGAGGGGGAGAGAGATAGAAACATCAATGATGAGAAAGAATCATTGATTGGCTGCCTCCTGCATGCCCCCCATAGTGGATGGAGCCCACAACCCAGGCATGGGCCCTGACCAGGAATTAAAAGGTGACCTCCTGGTTCATAGGTTGATGCTCAACCACTGAGCCTCTCTGGCTGGTCCTTTTTCTTTTTCTTTAATATGTTTTTATTGATTTTTAGAGAGAGAGGAAGAGAAAGCGAGAGAGAGACATCTATTAGCTGCCCACTGCACACCCCCTACTGGGAATGGCTTTAAAGCCAGACATGTGGGCTGACTGGGAATGGAACCAGCGACTGCTAGTTGCATGGGAAGATCCTCCACCAATAAAGCCATACCAGCCAGGGCTAGAATTTCTCTGCAGCTCATTGAAAAAAAAAAAAAAAAGTTTCTGCCCGGCCAGTTCCTGTGTTTACGGGCTCCTTTTGGTGTAGAAAGGTCTTCACCTTCACTGGATTGAGAGGTCATTGGCCCGTCTGGGTGTGGCGGTTCTGGCTGGGGAGGAACCAGCTGTGCAGTCACAGTGCAGCTGTGGGAGCTGAGCTCAGGGATGGCTAATGTAGGGGTTCTCAATAGCCAAGGCTGCCAGGTGAGCTCATGGGTATCTGGTCATGTGGAAGCTGGGTAGGGCCTGACATCACCACTGTGTTCCAATCATACGTGAACTATTTTCCATGGAACCAGTGTTTTGAGTCCTCTACCATTCTTTGGCCTTAGAGGTGTACTAATGCCCAGTAACAAACCTTACGTCAACTTTCCCTTCCTCACTATTGCTACTTTGTCCTTGTTACTCTGACTTGTAGCCCGTGGAGAATCTACACTTCTCTGGCCTTCATAGCTCACATATTTCTCTCACTTCTTCCTCTCGTTTTGCAACATTGGTCCACCTGAGCCGTGAAATCAGCATTCATTTTGAAATTGGCCTTATTGGCAACTACTCTGTTGTGATGGTTTTTCCCCCCCTCAGTTTGGACCTGTGCTGCTGATTCTTCTATTTCTATTTTTTTTTAAAAAATATATTTTATTGATTTTTCACAGAGAGGAAAAGAGAGGGATAGAGAGTTAGAAACATCGATGAGAGAGAAACATTGATCAGCTGCCTCCTGCACACCTCCCACTGGGGATGTGCCCGCAACCAAGGTACATGCCCTTGGCCGGAATCGAACCCGGGACCTTTCAGTCCACAGGCTGACGCTCTATCCACTGAGCCAAACCGGTTAGGGCTATTTCTATTTTTTTAATATATTTTTATTGATTTCAGAGAGGAAGGGAGAGAGATAGAAACATCAGTGTTAAGAGAGAATCTCTGATCAGCTGCCTCCTGCATGCCCCACACTGGGGATCAAGCCCACACCTGGGCATGTGCCCTTGACCAGAATCGAACCCAGGACCCTTCATTCCACAGGCCTATGCTCTATCCACTGAGCCAAACCCCTACAGTTGGACCTGTGCTTCTATCACAGCCTTATGTCTCTAGCACGAAAGGTCCTATAGAAATCCTTCCACAAGAGAAGATTGCCAACACACACTTGTGTTATACCCTGTTCTTGTCTCCTTTCTTCGGTGAGTCCTCTACCATTCTTTGGCCTTAGAGGTGTACTAATGCCCAGTAATAGCTTCCTAAACCAGATTTTAACTCCTTTCATAAAAAGCAAGCCATAGGCTCATTTCCCGATGTGACGAGTGCACATTTGTGATGGTGTCATTCTCAGAGTCAACCTGTACTTCACCTGGTGTTATTTGCATTCAGGTTACTGCTGTGGAGCAGAGGATGCACAAGCAAACTGTGAACGGAGTGTTTCTGCAGGAGTGTCACGGGCCCGCTCTTCCAGGGCTGCTCTGTGTTTCCGCAAGACCCACTTCTGTGAGAGCTGTGGTCCAGTCTGGAGAGACATATTCCATTTGCCTGCGGACAAAGGAACTCCACACAGCCAGAACGTGGTCAGGTGTGGGGTATGTAGGACACGATTTCATTTTAGAGCAAACCTCCAAAAACACCAGAAAAAGAGAAAAAATTATTTCACCTGGCGAGAATATAAGAAACCGTACAGGCCCAGGTGGACACGTGCTCAGGACCAAAATGTTCGCACTGCAAGACCGTGTTTTATGTGCAGTGCATGTGGGAAAACATTCAGGGATCAGTCCTCATTCGCTGTTCACCAGAGAGTGCATCCAGGTAAAAGCCTTCCCGTGTGTGGCCAGTCTTTTAGGCGAACCTCAACCCTCAGTCAGCATCAAAGATTTCACTGTGGGCCAAGGAAGTACAAGTGCGGCAAATGTGGGAAGTCCTTTCACCCAAAATCTGTGCTCATTTATCTCTGGAGAAGTCACGCTGGGGAAAAATGTGACCTGTGCCGTGAATGTACGCCATCTTTTAGCCGGAGATGCATCCTCATTCGACAACGGACCGTTCACTCTGGGGAAAGGCGTTACGAGTGCACGCAGTGTGGGGAGTCCTTTAGAAGAAAATTTTACCTCATTCTGCATTGGAGAGTTCACACTGGAGAAAGGCCCCATGAATGCCGTGAGTGTGGGAAATCTTTCACCAGGAGATCAGTCCTTACTCTACACCGGAGAGTGCACACGGGAGAAAGGCCTTCCCGGTGCAGCAAATGCAGGAGAACCTTTCCCGGTAGTTCCATACTCATTCTACACCAGAGAGCACACACAGGAAAAAGGCCTTATGAGTGCAGTGAATGTTGGAAATCCTTTAGCCAACAATCTTACCTCAGTCGGCACCAGGTAATTTACAGTGGAAGACAGTCTTATGAATGTAGTGAATGTGGGAAAGCTTTTTCATCTGCTTTCATCCTCAGTCGTCATCAGAGAGTCCACAGAAAAGAAAGACCTCATCAGTGCAGTGTATGTGGGAAATCTTTTATCCTAAGACAACAACTTCGTATACACCAGAGGGTTCACACGGGAGAAAGGCCTTACCAGTGTAGCGAATGTGGGAAGTGTTTTATTGCCAACCATATCTTTAACTACCACGAGAAAATTCACACTGGAGAAAGGCCTTATCAGTGCCATGAATGTGGGAAGTCTTTTATTTCCAAATCCAACCTCACGCAACATCAGAGAATACACACAGGAGAAAGACCTTTTGCGTGCAGCGACTGTGGGAAATGCTTTTTCCGAGGCCACCAACTTCGCACCCACAAGCGAGTTCACACAGGAGAGAGGCATCAGTGCAATGAATATGAGAAATCTTTTTCATCCGGTTTTAATCTCAGAAATCATCAGAGGGATCACACAGGAGAAAATCACACAGGAGAAAAGCCTTATGTGTGCACTGTATGTGGGATCTCTTTCACCACCCAGAGGAAGCTTCGCTATCATCGGGCAGTGCACACTGGAGATGGGCCCTATGAGTGCTGTGAATGTGGGAAATCTTTTACCTCTTGTTACTCCTTCCGGAATCATCAGAGAATTCATACATAAGCAAAAAGTCTTATGTCGAGCATGTGGCAAATCTTTTTCATCTGGCTCCGGCCTCCGTTATCATCAGAGTGTTCACACTGGGTTAAAGCCTCATGCATGCAGCGAGTGTGAGAAATCTTATCTTAAGCACTCCGAACTCATTCAGCATCAAAGAAGTCACACAGGAGAAAGGCCTTATGTGTGCAGTGAATGTGGGAAATCCTTTATGCGGAAACCTCACCTTCGTGTACACCAACGGGTTCACACAAGATAGAGCCTTCACGATTGCAGTGCATGTGGGAAAAGCTCTAAGGATAGTTCCCAGTCCAGTTGACAATGGAGAGCTCACACCGGAGGTAGGCGTTTGAGTCCAAAAATGGGGGAAATGGGAATTTTTTGGCCATAATTCTTACCTTTCATAACACTTGAGTCTTCATATTGGAAAAAGGTCCTATGAAGGTAGTGAATGTGTTAATTGTTTTACCTGTATTTATGGAGTTTTTGATTATCTGTGAGTTCATACAGGATGTGGGCTCTATGATGTAGCAATTGTGAAAAATATTTTACCCATGGCTTGACACTCTTTCACCTCCAGAGAGTTCACCCAGGAGATGGCTTTATGGGTACACTGAATGTGGGAAATTTCTCCCCTCGTATTTACCTTATTATACAGTGTGAAATTCACGCTGGATAAATACCTCCGATGTGTAAGGGAATGTGCAATTTTCTTGTTCCATATAATGATCCTGGAAGAAGCCATGAGACGCCATCTGTCTGCATTCAGTCTCATATTTTCCTTTGTCACAGGTGGGAGATTAAGTTTCAGTCATGTGGGAAGCATGTATATCTGTGTGCTTCCTAACTTCCCTGGGCTCTTTGCCATTTTCTTCCCTTTTTTTTCTTTAATATATATTTTTATTGACTTCAGAGAGGAAAAGAGAGGGAGAGAGATAGCAACATCAATGATAAGAGAGAATCATCATTGATCGGCTACCTCCTGCACACCCCCCACTGGGGATCTAGCCCGAAACCTGGGAATGTGCCCTTGACTGGAATCGAACCCAGGATCCTTCAGTCCTCAGGCTGACGCTCTATCCACTGAGCCACACCTGCCAGGGCGCCATTTTCTTTTGTTAAAGCCATTTACTCTACCACATGGCAGGTTCCCACCGTTTGTGTCCGTTACCATCCACATGTGCTCAGGGCAGCTGACCTCTATTCTCTCATTTATTACAGAAAATTAGGGGTAACCTGAGCTCTTTGGGGTTCACATTGGACAGGAACCCAAACCTTTGTTGACAGAAAATTTCATGAGTCTGGCTGGAGGGCCATGTTCTCCCATGAGTTTTTTCCAGCTCCTGGGTCACCAACCTGAACTTGCTGCGCATTGCTTTGGTTTGTACAATACTGTACAAGTCCGTACTGTATAAGTTCTCTTACACACTGGGTGTTCTGTTTACTGTGTGGGGTATTTTTTAAAATATATTTTTATTGATTTCAGAGAGGAAGACTGAGGGAGAGAGGGAGAGACAGAAACATCAATGATGAAAGAGAATCACTGATCAGCTGCCTCCTGCATGGCCCCTACTGGGGATGGAGCCCGCAACCTGGGCATGTGCCCTGACCGGGAATCAAACCATGACCTCCTGGTTCATCGATCGACGCTCAACCACGGAGCCACGCCGGCCGAGCATGTAGGGTATTTTATAAACATTTTGGCTCCACCAGTGTGAAGGGTGAGCATTTTTATGGGCCTACCCAACTTTGTGTTCTTCATAGGGATACTGTAATGGTAAACTATATCTCCCTGGTTTTTGCCGTCTTTGCATTCCTGCCAATAACCTTCTAGGAAAGATTGCAGGGCTTTCTGGGCCCCATTTGAAGCCTGGGTGCTATGAATTTTAGGAGATTCTGAAATCACCCTGTGCCCTGGCCTGCGTGGCTCCTTTGTTTGAACATCATCCCGTGCACCGAAAGGTCATCAATTCCATTCCTAGTCAGGGCCCGTGGGGTTGCTGGCCTGATCTCCGGTAGGGGGCGTGCAGGAGGCAGCAGATCAGTGTTACCCTCTCCCTCTCCTTTCTGTCTCCCTCTCCTTTCCTCTCTCTCTAAAAATCGGTGAATACATATTTATAAACAGAAAAGAAAACCACCCTGAGGAAAGGTCACATGTGACATTCTCAAGTACTTCTTGGCAAAGCATGAATTTTTCCTTTCTTCACAGGATAATTTCAGGGCTTGTTGAAGGAAATCTGTTTCCTCGGTCCTGCAAAGACCCTAGGCCCGTGGTTGGCAAGCTGCGGCTCGCGAGCCACATGCGGCTCTTTGGCCCCTTGAGGGTGGCTCTTCCTAAGCCTTAGGAGCACCCTAATTAAGTTAATAACAATGTACCTACCTATATAGTTTAAGTTTAAAAAATTTGGCTCTCAAAAGAAATTTCAATCGTACTATTGATATTTGGCTCTGTTGACTAATGAGTTTGCCAACCACTGCCCTAGGCCAGTGGTCGGCAAACTGCGGCTCGCAAGCCACATGCGGCTCTTTGGCCCCTTGAGTGTGGCTCTTCCACAAAATACCGACTTCTGCGCATGGGCCACGAAGTTTCAATCGCACTGCACGTGCGCGCCCGCACGTGGTATTTTGTGGAAGAACCACACTCAAGGGGCCAAAGAGCCGCATGTGGCTCGTGAGCCGCAGTTTGCCGACCACTGCCCAAGGCCTAAAACTTCTTCAGTGCAAGGTTTTAAGGAAGCCCTGTCCATTGTTCTTGTGCCTCTAGGTTAACACCTTTTTTTTAATTATTATTATTATTGATTTTGGAGAGAGATGAAGGGAGAGAAAGAGAGAGAAACATTGAGAGCTCAACATTGATTGGTTCCCTGCCACACGGTCTCTACCAGGGATGGAGCCCTGACCGCAGGCATGTGCATTGGGAACTGAACCAGCAGCCTTTTGGTGCAGGGGATGCTGCCCACCCAACTGAGCCACACTGGCCAAGGCTGGTTTACCTTTTAACAAACAGAACAGTGAGACATAAAAAATAAATAAATGAATAAATAAATAAATAAATAAATAAAATTAAAAAAAAAAAGAACAGTGAGACATCAAAGATGTATTGTAATGTGATCCATTTTCACTCCTTAGATAATAGGTGTGATTCTTGGTTTATGAAATAATTACTTTGGTGTTTTTTTTTTCCTTAAACAAGGTTTTACTTATTTATTCAGTGTGGCTCAGTTGGTTGAGCATCCCTGCATACATGCAGAGGTTGCTGGTTCAATTTCTGGTCAGGGCAAATGCCTGGGTTGCAGGCTCAATCCCCAGAAGGGGGCATGCAAGAGGCAGCCAAGAGATGGTTCTCTCTCTCTCTGTTCCTCTTTCTTTCTCTTTCTTTCTTTCTCTCTTTCTCTCTTTCTCTCTTTCTTTCTTTCTTTCTTTCTTTCTTTCTTTCTTTCTTTCTTTCTTTCTTTCTTTCTTTCTAAAAAAAGAAAAAAGCTGAAAACGGTTTGGCTCAGTGGATAGAGCGTCGGCCTGAGGACTGAAAGGTCCCGGGTTCAATTCCGGTCAAGGGCATGTACCTGGGTTTCGGGCACATCCCCAGTAGGGGGTGTGCAGGAGGCGGCTGATCGATGTTTCTGTCTCATCGATGTTTCTAACTCTCTATCTCTCTCCCTTCCTCTCTGTAAAAAATCAATAAAATATATTTTAAAAAATCAATAAAGACATTTTTCAAAAATTAAAAATCAACAGTAATCAGGTAACAACCTTTCTCCTTTTTAAAATGTAAAGGAAATATCATATTGAAACATAACCCAGCCCTAGTCGGTTTGGCTCAGTGGATGGAGCATTGGCCTGTGGACTAAAGGGTCCCAGGTTCGATTCCAGTCAAGGACATGTACCTTGGTTGCGAGCACATCCCCACTAGGGGGTGTGCAGGAGGCAGCTGATAGATATTTCTCTCTCATCGATGTTTCTAACTCTCTATTCCTCTCCCTTCCTCTCTGTAAAAAATCAATAAAATATATTTAAAAAGAAAAACATAACCCAAAATTTCAAAAATGGTTAAGCTAAGACAAGTAACAGAAGAGTTGAAAAAAAAAAAGTATAACAACAGAAATTATGAAAAGAACTTATAAAAATCACTTCTAGCCCTAACTGGTTTGGCTCAGTGAATAGAGTGTCGGCCTGCGTATTGAAGGGTCCCAGGTTCGATTCCAGTCAAGGGCATGTACCTGGGTTGCAGGCACATCCCCAGTAGGAGATGTACAGGAGGCAGCTGATCAATGTTTCTCTCTCATCAATGTTTCTAACTCTCTATCCCTCTTCCTTCCTCTCTGTAAAAAATCAATAAAATATATATATTTTTTAAAATCACTTCTAAACTACAATAGGAAATCTCTCCATCACACTGGCTCTGGCACAATGGTCACAGAGGTGGTCGGACACTCTAGGGAAGGCCCTGGCACAGGAGCATCGTGCTGTGTGTTTTTGTCCATTAATCCCCTTCATGCTGTATTCAGATCACCTCTCCTACTTTATTTATTTATTTGTTAATCTTCACTCCAGGATATTTTTTCCATTGATATTTTTTAGAGAAAATGGAAGAGAGGGAAGGAGAGAGAGAAACATCGATGTGAGACACATCAATTGGTTACCTTTTACATTCCCCCACCCCCAGCTGGAGCTGAGGATGGAACCTGCAACCCAGGTACATGCCCTTGACCAGGAATCAAACCTGCGACCCTTGGGTGCTCGGATGATGTTCTGGCCACTGAGCAACACTGGCCAGGACTCTCCCCTACTTTAAATGTACCCTTAAAACCCTCTATCTCCACGTTTCTCATTGTTAGGAGCTCCTTTTTTTTTTTTAATATATATTTTATTGATTTTTTACAGAGAGGAAGGGAGAGAAATAGAGAGTTAGAAACATCAATGAGAGAGAAACATCGATCAGCTGCCTCCTGCACATCTCCTACTGGGGATGTTCCCGCAACCCAGGTACATGCCCTTGACCAGAATCAAACCTGGGACCTTTCAGTCCGCAGGCCGACGCTCTATCCACTGAGCAAAACCAGTTTCGGCAGGAGCTGCTATTTTTATATTTCCACAGAACTATCACATTATCCTATATAATAAAACCCTAATATGCAAATCGACCCAACGGCGGAATGACCGGTCGCTATGACATGCACTGACCACCAAGGGGCAGACGCTCAATGCAGGAGCTGCTCCCCGGTGGTCAGTGTGCTCCCACAGGGGAGCACCGCTCAGCCAGAAGCCAGGCTCATAGCCGGCAAGTGCAGTGGTGGTGGCCGGAGCCTCTTCCACCTCTGCAGCAGCGCTAAGGACCCCTCAGGGGATGTCCACCTGCAGGCTTAGGCCCACTCCCGAAGGGTCCCGAACTGCAAGAGGGCACAGGCCGAGCTGAGGAACCCCCACACCTTGCCCAGTGCACAAATGTTGTGCACCAGGCCTCTAGTGTATTATAACAAAAAATACATTTTTTTAACTGATTGCTTACTCAGTTAAAAAAAAAGATTTGAAGAAGCCTGGTTGCAATCACATTTCTTTATTGATCTATAAGACAGACCTAGGTGAGCTTCTGAGGCTGATGAGATAATTAGTAAATGACGGTGAAGCAACGAAACATGAGGCCATGGCTTTCCTTCCACTCTTCCACGTTTTTTGTTTAGCTCACATCTTCCTATATTTTTCTCACCTCACTATTATCCCCCCAAGTTCACATGAATGAAGAAGGTTTCCCACTTTGTTGAAAAAAAAGAATTGCATTGTTGCCAGGATTCCAGCATAGCTAAAGGCTCCATTCTCTCACATCTTAGAATAAAGTGTCCTTTTTGTTGTTGTTAATCCTCACCCAAGGATATTTTTCCATTAATTTCTTGAGAGGGTGGAAGGGAAGGGGAGAGACAGAGAGAGAAACATTGACGTGAGAGAAACACATTGGTTGCCTCCTGCATGCCTGGACCAAGCCTGCAACTGAGGTCCGTGCCCTTGACCGGGATCGGACTCATTTTCCTTCAGTTCGTGGGCCAGCGCTCTATCCATTGGTCAAACCGGCTAGGGCTGGAATTGTTGCTTTCCATAGTGGGATAGTATTTCCTATATTTCCAGTTGTTTTTGTTATGCACAACATTACAGACACATCATCTATAATAATAAAAGGGTAATACGCTAATTAGACCGGATGGTCGAATGACCTTCCAGATTTCCGGATGAAACCGGGGCTGCTGCTGCCTCAGCCCTTGGAGCCCCTTCCACGAATTTCGTGCATCGGCCCCTAGTACACTTTAAAGAACAATGTGCAATGTTAATACACTTTATCACTTTTGTAAGTTCAGATATATAATTGCAATTCAACCTTAGTTGAATAATACTTAGTAGTATAATAAATCCTTGCTTTTTAGTCTTCATCCATTTTCCTGGTCTACCTGGGGGTTGCTTGGCTGCAGCAGGACACAGAATTGCACCCGGAGGTGTGAGGATGAATGGGTATTTTCTGAGCCTCAAAGTCTTCCTGGAAGCCAAAGAGAAGAGATGAGGGATCGGTCTCCCCACACCTCAGATCATGCGAACTGGGTGGAAATCCCAGATCTTCAACAGTCAACCGAGAAAGCAGGTGAATGATCCACTCTCTAAGCCTCAGTTTTCCCATTTTTAAAATGGGGGTTAAGAGCTCCCCTGCCCATCCAGTGTGGCTCAGTGGTTGAGCATCGACCTGCGAACCTGGAGTTCATGGTTCGATTCCCGGTCGAAGTGCGAGCCCCGGTTGTGGGCTCGATCCCGGGTGTGGGAATGTGCAGGAGGCAGCCGATCAGTGGTTCTTCCTCATCATTGATGATTCTGTCTCTTTCTCCCTCTCCCTTGCTCTCTGAAATCAATAAAAATATATTTAAATATATATATATATATATTAAAAAACACAAGTCTTCTTGTATCTTGAAAGCAAGGAAATTCCTTGTCGTTTTAGCAAAGTGGAAAAGAACCAAATTCCAATTCTGTATTAGCTTATTTTTTATTTTAAAATTAATTTAATTAAATTTATTATTCAGGAGAGTGCATGCTGAGCCTTCATTTTGAGGGTTTTAAAGACTGGGTTTTATTAATTCTGGGAAAGTGTTATGGAGTGAGCAAACTACCGAATGGTGTTACTGTTAAAAAAAAAAAAAAAAAAGATTGTTTCTCGGAAAATAGAAAAAAGACCAAAAAAATAGTAGCCCTGGCTGGGGTTGCTCAGTGGTTAGAGCATTGTCCTGCGCCCTGCAGGGTCTTGGGTTGGATTCCTGCTCAAGGGCTTAAGGGCACATCCCTTCGTTACAGGTTCAGTCTCCAGTCTAGGTGCAGGCAGGAGGCAAGCGATTGATTTCCCGCTCTCTTTGACGTTTCTTTCTCTTCCTTCCTCTCCCCTCCCCTTCCTCCCTTCCACTCTTTAACAACTCAATGGAGCCCTAGCTGGTTCGGCTCAGTGGATAGAGCGTCAGCGTGTGTACTGAAGGGTCCTGGGTTCGAATCCAGTCAAGGGCACATGCCCAGGCTGTGGGCTTGATTCCCAGTAGGGGGCTTGTAAGAGGCAGCCAATCATTGAATCTCTCTCATCATTGATGTTTCTATCTCTCCTCTCTCCCTCTCCCTTTCTCTGTAAAATCAATTAAAAAAAAAACTCAATGGAAAAAATATTGTCCTGTGAAGATTAACAACAACAAAATAACTTAAAAAGAATGCTTCTGGGAGAGGTTGAGCTGCAATGATATCAGGTATTTACATTTGGTATCATGGGCTTTTAGCATGAGTGATACCATGTAAACCTGTGGTTTTTCTTTTTAAAATTTTTTTATTCTTTTATTTTTTATTAAAATATATATTTATTAATTTCAGAGAGGAAGAGAGATATAGAAACACCAATGATGAGAGAGAATCATGGATCGGCTGCCTCCTGCACGCCCCCTACCGGGGATCTAGCCCTCAACCTGGGCATGTGCCCTTGACCAGAATTGATCTTTTATTAATTTATTAATTATTTTATCTTTTATTAATCCTCACCTGAGGATATTTTTCCTTTAATCTTCAGGGAGAGAGTGGAAAGGAGGGAAGAGGAGTGGAGAGAGAGGGAAGCATGGATGTGAGAGACACATGAACTGGTTGCCCTACCACATGCACCCCCAACTGGGACTGGGGATTGAACCTGCAACCCAGGTACATGTGATTGACCGGGAATTAAACCTGGGCTCACGCTCTAACCATTGAGCAAAGTCGGTCAGGGCAATTTTTTTATTTCTTGCCGAAACCGGTTTGACTCAATGGATAGAGCGTCGGCCTGCAGACTGAAAGGTCCCGGGTTCGATTCCGGTTGGGGGCATGTACCTGGGTTGTGGGCACATCCCCAGGAGATGTGCAGGAGGCAGCTGATCGATGTTTCTCTCTCATTGATATTTCTAACTCTCTATCTCTCTCCCTTCCTCTGTAAAAAATCAATAAAATATATTTTAAAAAAAAACACAAAAAACCTGGGCTGACGCTCTAACCATTGAGCAAAGTCGGTCAGGGCAATTTTTTTATTTCTTAACTTTAGACAGAGATAAAACACACACACACGTTGATTTATTGTTTCACTTATTATGCATTCATTGATTGATTCTTATATGTACCCTGACCCGGAGTCAAACCTGCAACCTTGGTGAATCAGCAGGACCAACTGAGCTACAGAGTCAAGGCCAGCCTGTCATTTTCTTTATTTTATTTTATTTTTTAATGTTATTGGTTTCAGAGAGGAAGGGCGAGGGAGAGAGAGACAAGAAACTTTAATGATGAGAGAGAGTCATAGATCGGCTGCCTCCTGCAAGCCGCCCCCCCGCCCCCCCCGCCCCCGCTGGGAACCACGCCCACATGTGCCCTAACCCGGACTCCTGCCCTCACCGGGAATTGAACCTGGAGCTCCTGGTTCCTAAGTGGATGCTCAGCCACTGAGCCACGCTGACCCACACCAGCCAGGCCCTGTGGTTTTCTGTTTCAAATAGCCTGTTGTGCCCTAACCCAGTGGTCCGCTAACTGCGGCTCGCGAGCCACATGCGGCTCTTTGGCCCCTTGAGTGTGGCTCTTCCACAAAATACCGACTTCTGTGCATAGGCCACAAAGTTTCAATCGCACTGTACGTGCGTGCCCACACGTGGTATTTTGTGGAAGAGCCACACTCAAGGGGCCAAAGAGCCGCATGTGGCTCGCGAGCCGCAGGTTGCCGACCACTGCAACCGTTTTGGCTCAGTGGATAGAGCGTTGGCCTGAGGACTCAAGGGTCCCAGGTTCGATTCCAGTCAAGGGCATGTACCTTGGTTGTGGGCACATCCCCAGTAGGGGGCGTGCAGCAGGCAGCTGATCGATGTTTCTAACTCTCTATCCCTCTCCCTTCCTCTCTGTAAAAAATCAATAAAATATATTTATAATTTTTAAAAATAATAGCCTGTTGTTCTGAAGCTCAGATGACCACTGAATTTGCAATAGGTACCCTAAGGGGGGGGAGCAGTGAGCCCTTATAACCCATCCTAAGGTCGATATGGTCAGATTCGAGTTCTCGCTGCAATTTACACAGAGCGGGCCCTTCACGCGGGTCGCAGCTGAACCACAGGACCCCTCCAGGGGCAAACATTCCAGCAGGGGTCCTCAAACTTTTTAAACGGGGGGGCCAGTTCACTGTCCCTCAGATGGTTGGAGGGGCGGCCTATAGTTTTAAAAAAAGCTATGAACAAATTCCTATGCACACAGCACATATCTTATTTTGAAGTAAAAAAAACAAAAACGGGAACAAATACAATATTTGTATTTGCATGTGGCCCTCCGGCCGTAGCTTGAGGACCCCTGTTCCAGGTGCTCGGAGGCTGAACTCCCTTCTGTGACCCCTTAGCTCTGGGAACTACATTTCCCAGAAGTCGTTGCGCTGAGTGGAGGCACTGACAGGTCTGGATGAAAGCGTTGCCTGGAGAGCTCCCGGCCTGGAGGCGGGACTTCCGGCCTCTCGCCAGCCGTCCATCTTTGCAGGTTGGCCCGAGTGGATTCTGGCGCCAGAGCCCCTTTTCAGGTAACAAAGCGGCGGGGCGCCGAAGAGGCGTGGTCCTCCGTGCACGGGTCCGAGGCCGGGGGCCGGGAAAGGGACCGTGACGCCCACGCCGGCTCCCCGCAGATTCCGATGGCGGCGGCCACGAGGCGCCCGGCTGAGGTGAGCGTCTCCCCGGGGGCACCCCGCTCCCCCCAACCCCAACCCTGCACCGGGGGGCGGGCGCCCGTCTCCCCTGCAGCCCAGGCCCCGGGGGGTGACATTTAGGCGGGAGGCAGGTCATCGTGGCGGTGCAACTAGCTGCTCGGAAAGATCGGGGTTCATAATGAGCTTTTTTCCCCTTTTTTTATTTTTTTGCTCGGCATCGGGGTCAGGGCGCCGGGCGGGAGGTGGGCGGGGGACTCCGTGGGAGGGAGGACGGTCCGCAGGCGCGGGGGCCAGGGGGTCCTGCAGGCGGAGGAGGCCTGGAGATGAGATGACATCGCGGGCCAAGCTCCGCCTCTTCCCTCCCGCATGGAGCCCCCAGAATATGGGGGTGCGCTTCGAGGGGGCGCGGGAGTTTCCGTATTGCATGTGGTCACTTTAAAAAAATTTTTTTTTTTTTTTTTTTTTTTTTTATTGATTTCAGAGAGGAAAGGAGAGGGAGAGAGAGAGAGAAACATCCATGGTAAGAGAGAATCATGGATCGGCTGCCTCCTGCGCGCCCCCCACTGGGGATGGAGCCCGCAACCCGGGCAGGTGCCCCCCTTGACTGGGAATCGAACCCGGGACCCCCTGATTGACAAGCTGAAGCTCGACCACTGAGCACCCCGACCTGGCGTCGATGTGGTCCTTTTTGATGTCCCTGTGCCTGGCGTGGTGCCCTCGGGCCTGGGGTGTGCGGGGAGGGTGAGTGCAGCGAGGACGCGGTGGCTGCTGGGGGACCGCACAGAATTTGGGGCGGTCGCGGCCCCTGAGCTGCAGGGGAGCCCCCAGCGGCGTCTCCCCGAGTGCGAGGCGGTGGAGTGCCCCTGGGGCCTGGAGGTTGAGGGGTACAGTCCGCAGAGGGCTGTGCACATTGGGGGGAAGTGGGAGTTAGGGTTCCGGGGGCCGAGTATTGGGGACCGACAGGTTTACCCTGAGCCGAGGCTTGGCGGGGCTCGTCAGCATCTGGAGACCCCGAGGGGAAGGCATGGCATGATGGGGGCCCTGCCCGCCAGGAACAGACCTGGGGTCCATCTCTGTGTCCTCCTGCCTGGCGCTGCTGAGGGCAGAGCCTCCTGCCTAACGGGACCCTGAGGGTCGGGTGGGCGCCCCTGGCCCCTGTGCCCACCCGTGGGGTTCCTCTGAGGTGGGAGCTGGGGAGGCGGAGGCGGGAGGGGCGGATGGGTGGGAGAGGGACTGTGGGTTCTCAGGCACAGGATGGTCACGGTTCCCTCTGTCCCCGTCCTTTCAGGCCGGCGTGACCCTGGAGGATGTGGCCGTGCGCTTCTCCCGGGAGGAATGGAGGCTGGTGGACGAGGCTCAGAGACGCCTGTACCTGCGGGTGATGCTGGAGAACTTTGCACTTGTCTCCTCTCTGGGTAAGACTCACAGCCTCACCGGGACCTGGACTGGACTCTCCTCCCTCCCGCTGACCCCTCTCTCAGTCCTGGGGCCTGGACCCCAGCACTGCTGCCTCCCCAGTGTTCTGGGCCGTTGCTGTGTGGCTGGGGCTGGTGGGTGTACACGGCCCTCTTCTCTCCCCTGCAGTCCCCATAGGGAACCCTTTGGGGAAGGGACTCGGGGTCAGTAAATGGTACTGCATTGAGCTTCATGGGTTCGCCTCTCAGTGTCTGGGTGAATGTGTCCAGATCCACACCACTTCTGTCTCCCAGGGTTCGATCCCTTCTGGTAGCCGTCATTTCCTCCTGCCCACCTGTGCCAGGACTTGCAGGTGTTGTCTGGGTAGCTGTTTACCTGAAGCCTGGGCTTTGCTTTAAGACTCTCCTGAAGTGTGTCGTGTTTAGATCTGTTTTCCTCCCCCTACCCCCGTAGCCTTGTCGAGATATAAACTTGTGTATATTAAAGTGTTCAATGTGCTGTTTTTATATATACAGAGCGTCACCCCCCAAAAATGTATACAAACTTTAACAATGGATAGCCACATTTTGAAAATGCCATGTATTTTAAAAAACACTGCCTTTGCCCCAGCTGGTTTGGCTCGGGGGATAGGGCGCAGGCCTGGGGACTGAAGGGTCCCTGGTTTGATTCTGGTCAGGGGCACATGCCCAGGGTTGCAGCCTCGATCCCCAGTAGGGAGCTTGCAGGGGGCATCCGATCAGTGATTCCCTCTCATCACTGATGTTTCTATCTCTGTCTCCCCACCTCTCCATCCCTCCATGAAATCAATAAAAATATATTTTAAAAAAACAGACACCCAAAACACTGCCTTTACAATTATGCAAAGTATGTATACATTTCTGGTGGATACCCTATATCTACATATATCAAAGGCTAATATGCAAAGTGTCCCGTCAGGAGTTCGATCACTCGCTATGACGTGGGCTGACCACCAGGGGGCGGCGCAGAACAAAGGGAGGCCCTGGCCAGCAGCCAGAAGGCCCCAGTCGGTCCTAATCACTGGCCAGGCTTAGGGACCCTACCCATGCACTGATTTCGTGCACTGAGCCTCTACTAGTAAAATAATTGCCACACTGAAGTTAATTAAACATAGAAAGCTAATTTATTATATTTTTTTATGCTAGGAATGCCTAAGACCTACTGTCAATGAATTTCAAGTAAAACATTATTGACTATAGTCACCATGATCCTAATTACATGCTCAGAACTCACTCAGCTTATCATAAAACGTTCGCTGCATGTTTTGACCGTCATGTTTCCATTTTCCCCTACGCCCCAAATACTGGCATTCTATTCTTTTTCTATGATTTTGACTTTTTTTTAAAAAATATATTTTATTGATTTTTTTTACAGAGAAGAAGGGAGAGGGACAGAGAGTTAGAAACATCGACCAGTTGCCTCTTGCACACTCCCCACTGGGGATGTGCCCGCAATCAAGGTACGTGCCCTTGACGGGATCCGGACCTGGGACCCTTTGGTCCGCAGGCTGATGCTCTATCCACTGAGCCAAACCGGTTAGGGCTGACTTTTTTTTTTTAACACTTCGACCACAGTGCCCAGTGGTTCCATCGTATCTCTACCTGCACCAGCACTTATCTCTGCTTTTTGGATGGTGGCCATCTTAGCTTATTTATTTGTTTTTGTGCCAAAATGGGTAGGAACAACATCTTTGGACATTGTTAGATCTTTGATGAATGTTTATCCAGGTTTTTTGCCCATGTTTTCATTGGGTTGTTCCTTTGCTGTGAAGTTGTTGAACACCTTATATATTTAAATACTTACCCATTATGTGGCAGCCCTTACAGATATTTTCACACTTTTCATTGGGTTAATTGCCTTTTTTTTATGCAGAAGCTCTGTGGTTTCGTGGTGCCTGGCTCATTTACCTTTGCCCTTGTTGTCTGCCTTTAGTGTCATCCAAAATATTCGTGCCAAAACCAATGTCAAAGAGCTTCTTTTTTTCTTTTTTAAATGTATTTTATTGATTTTTTACAGAGAGGAAGGGAGAGGGATAGAGAGCTAGAAACATCGATGAGAGAGAAACATCGATCAGCTGCCTCCTGCACACCCCCTACTGGGGATGTGCCTGCAACCAAGGTACATGCCTTTGACCGGAATCGAACCCGGGACCTTTCAGTCCTCAGGCCGATGCTCTATCCACTGAGCCAAACCGGTCAGGGCCATGACTTGCTTTTTGATGAAAGGAGTTAAAACCTACTGAGCCAAACCAGCTAAGGCTTCTCTTCATTTATTAATAATATTGTGTATGTAAAGAGTAAAAAATAAGAACTATCTCAAATTTTTTTTTTTTTAGTCACGTTCTGGAAAAATATTTAATACTAAAGCTAGTCTGAATTTGTTTCATGTCTTTTAAAATCATTAACAAAATATGTTTTACCTGGTTTGCAGGAATACTTTTTTTAAAAGTATTTTTTTATTGATTTCAGAGAGGAGGGGAGAGGAAGAGAGAGACAAACATCAATGATGAGAGAGAATCATTGATTGGCTGCCTCCTGCATACCCCCCTATTGGGGATCGAGCCTGCAAGCCAGGCATGTGCCCCCATCTGGAATCGAACCCAGGACCCTTCAGCCTGCAGGCCGACACTATCCATTGCGCCAAACCAGCTAGGGTTCGAATAAGTTACTGTTTTTATCTCCTGTTACAAAATTTGTCATGAAAATGACATCAGTAATTAACTTTAAAATCTCATAGTTTTGAAGAAATAAGTGGAGCCCTGGTCAAGATTTTCGATAAATCTGCTACTTTTTTAGTCTCTTTTAATTTTGCCTTTTGACTAGGGCTCTACTTATTTGTCAAATGATTGTGTTAATCATTTATCAGATACTTGATTTACTTTCAAGGAAATTCATCTTCAATCCTAAGAATTAAAGTTTTGCCAGTCTGTATTGTTTCATACTTTTTATTGCCACCTTAGCTAAATAATTATTTAATTTTATTTCGTAACCATATATAATCCTTAGATCAAGCATGTTTGACAAAGCTTCCCAAGTTTTGAATTTTAAGAATTTTTCTTAACCTAGAAGTGCCTTGGAGTTATTCTATTTTTTAAAAATATATTTTATTGATTTTTTACAGAGAGGAAGGGAGAGGGATAGAGAGTCAGAAACATCAATGGGAGAGAAACATCGACCAGCTGCCTCCTGCACATCTCCTACTGGGGATGTGCCCGCAACCAAGGTACATGCCCTTGACCGGAATCGAACCCGGGACCCTTCAGTCTGCAGGCTGACGCTCTATCCACTGAGCCAAACCAGTTAGGGCTAGAGTTATTCTAAAGGGCTCCTGTAGTACCTCAAGGATTTATTCTTTCTCCTTATAAAAGAGAAATTTTGGACTTATCAAGCTTATTCAATGTTTGAAAATACATGGAAAACTTTGTCAAATAAAAAAAAAAGATAACTGTGCCCTGGCTGGTTTGGCTCAGTGGATAGAGCCTCGGCCTGCGGACTCAAGGGTCCCGGGTTCGATTCCAGTCAAGGGCATCCACCTTGGTTGCGGGCACGTCCCCAGTGGGGGGTGTGCAGGAGGCGGCTGATCGATGTTTCTCTTTCATCGATGTTTCTGACTCTCTATCCCTCTCCCTTCCTCTCTGTAAAAAATCAATGAAATATATTTTTTAAAAAATAATAAATAAACTAGGATGATTTATAGAACTCTCATAAACTGAGTTAGTGCTTCTTCCCATGTCCCACATCCGGGTACCAGCGGCCTCATGCCGGGTCATCGGCTGTACTGTCTACCTGTAGGTAAAACAGAGACAACAAGGGCGGCACCAAAAGCAGGCCTCAAATCCCCTCCTCGGACGTCTTAACATTGGTCCACCTTTAAGGTCAGTAACCAGAAGAAAAAACAAAACACCCCTTATTTTATTGATTTATTGATTTTTTAAAATATATTTTATTGATTGTTTACAGAGAGGAAGGGAGAGGGATAGAGAGCTAGAAACATCGATGTGAGAGAAACATCGATCAGCTGCCTCCTGCACATCTGCCCACTGGGGATGTGCCCGCAACCAAGGTACACGCCCTTGACCGGAATCGAACCCGGGACCCTTTGGTCCACAGGCCGACGCTCTACCCACTGAGCCACTCCGGTTAGGACCCCTCATTTTATTTTATACAAACTCAGGGACCGGGAAGTCTGGCCTGTAAATAGGTCTCTGAATTATAACAGTATTCTCCATTGAGATTTGTTTTGCAAATCTCAAGACAATGCCCTAGTCCAGTGGTCGGCAAACTCATTAGCCAACAGAGCCTAATATCAACAGTACAAGGATTGAAATTTCTTTTGAAAGCCAGATTTTTTAACCTTAAACTATATAGGTAGGTACATTGTTATTAACTTAATCAGGGTCCTCCTAAGCTGGCCTTTGCTAAAAACGTCCTCCATCTGATGGAGGTACGTCCGCTGAGGTCGACCCCTTCCAACTGTCCCACCCACACGCGTCTTGTAGACTTGTTCCGTCCGTCTCCTTTCGTTCACCCTCTCTCTGTGTCCAAACCGTCTCCACACACCTTTCTCCGTCCTCGACACTACATCTTCTTTCACTCCATCCACAGCGTTCCCTAAAATTAACTTAATAAACTTTACTTAAAGTTTTAAGTCAACCGCACGCCCGCACGTGGTATTTTGTGGAAGAGCCACACTCAAGGGGAAAAAGAGCCGCATGTGGCTCGAGAGCCGTGGTTTGCCGACCACTGCCCTAGTCTGTTTGGCTCAGTGGGTAGGGCCTCGGCCTGCAGACTGAAGGGTCCCAGGTTCAATTCCAGTCAAAGGCACCTGCCTGGGTATGTGCCCTGACCGTGCAGGAGGCAGCCGATCAATGATTCTCTCTCATCAATGTTTCTATCTCTCCCTTTCTCTCTGAAATCAATAAAAATATTTTTTTTCTTTTTGTAAAAAAAGATATATTTTATTGATCTTTCACAGAGAGAAAAGGAGAGGGATAGAGAGCCAGAAACATCCATGAGAGAGAAACATCAACCAGCTGCCTCCTGCACACCTCCCACTGAGGGGATGTGCCCACAACCAAGGTACATGCCCTTGGCCGGAATCGAACCTGGGACCCTTCAGTCCGCAGGCCGACGCTCTATCCACTGAGCCACACCAGTCAGGGCTAAAAATATATTTTAAAAATAAAATAAAAATTAATTTAAAAAGCAAAACACCCCAAGTCTGCCAAGAGCTGAGCACTTCTGGGGATACATTTAAACACCAGAAGCGCATCACAGAAGTTGCCTTGGGACTCCAGGCCCCACAGAGCAACTGGTGGAAATCGATCCCAGTGTCCTTGACCACTGAGGCAGGGCCGAGGAAGAGTAAAAAGCTGTGCCCGGTGCAAACGAAAGGCGCCCCTGTGCCCCTCAGGGTCACCCTGCGCCCGGACTACAACAGACTGCAGAGGGATGGTGTTATTCCTGAGGACAAGAAGGGGTGCTCACCAGTCTCAGGGTCAACCCCTTGCAGGAGCACACCCCCCCCCCTCCCCCCCGCCGCCATACGGAGGGAGGGCCATTGGAGAAGGGCGTGTCCTGGGCTCCAGAGGTAAACCCACTGCATTTCTTTTGAATATATATTTTTTTAATTCGATTTCAATGAGGAAGAGAGAGAGAGACAAAGAAACATCAGTGATGAGAGAGAATCGTGGATCAGCTGCCTCCTGCACACCCCACACTGGGGATGGAGCCTGCCCCCTGGGTATGTGCCCTGACCGGGAATTGAACCTTGGCCTCTTGGTTTGTAGGTCGACTCTCCGTCACTGGGGCATGCTGGCCGGGTCCATTGCATTGCTTTTATTTATTTATTTATTTATTTATTTATTAATATATATATTTTATTGATTTTTTACAGAGAGAAAGGGAGAGGGATAGAGAGTCAGAAACATTGATGAGAGAGAAACATCGATCAGCTGCCTCCTGCACACCCACTACCTGGGATGCACCTGCAACCAAGGTACATGCCCTTGACCGGAATCGAACCCGGGACCCTTCAGTCCACAGGCCAACGCTCTATCCACTGAGCCAAACCGGTCAGGGCTGCATTGCTTTTAGACGGGGGGCTGCTTTCGCTGCTCTGACTCACTCAACGGGCCTCTTTCTTCCTAAGCCTGTTTAACCACCGGGGTGAATACATATCCTCAGTGGTACCCTCAGTGGTACTGTTACACTCAGCCCCTCAGCTGCAGCCTCAGGAAATCTCCCTCAGTCACGTCTTGTAGTTCCGGGGTGCCCCATTCCCTTATTATGCGGGGACATACTGACTAAGAACTACCGTACCCCCAAAGTCACCTTCCTCCTTCTCCACTCGATGCCAGTACAACACCGGGGCACGTACCCCCGAAAGGAATGGCAAGTTGATTTCACTCGAGTGCCCCCTAAAGCTTGTCTTTATAGTCACTTTCACCAGATAAACAGAAACTTTTCCTACAAAAAGAAAAGCTACTATGGAAGCCAAATACTTAACTAAAATAGAAATCTCACCTAGATTTGGATTACCAAGAAGCTGACAGAGTGACTACAGCCCCACTTTTATAACCACAATTACACACAGCTGCCTCAAACTTTAAAAATCAACTATCGCGCCCTAACCGATGTTGTTCAGTGGGTAGAGCGTCCGCCTGTCTGCTTCTGTGTATGTGTGTGTATGTGTGTGTGGTTGTTTGGCAAGTGGTTGTATGTAGGTATATGTGCAGCCTGCATGGTGAATTTGAGTCATGTGTGTGTTTGTGTGTGTGTGTGTGTGTAGGTGTGTGATGAGTAGAGGTTTCTCCATGACTTGAGTTTGTATGAAAGTATAGGTAGTGTAGACTGAAGGGTCCCAGGTTCGATTCCGGTCAAGGGCATGTACCTGGGTTGCGGGCACATCCCCAGTAGGGGGTGTGCAGGAGGCGGCTGATCAATGTTACTCTCTCATCGATGTTTCTAAGTCTCTATCCCTCTCCCTTCTTCTCTGTAAAAAATCAATATATATATATATATATATATATATATATATATATATATATTTTTTTT